AAGGGTACCATGAATTCATATTCAAATTAAGATTTTCTTTTTATTTGCAAACTAACCATTTCAATTTTCAAAACTGTATTATGTACAATAACTACACACCCTATGACACATTTCCGATATGCTTACAAATATATGAAAATTCCCCCTCCCCCTGAAAAAAATGCCTGCCCTACTTAGCCTTGGGTTTATCCTTTTCCATATGCTGAGAAGCTGTTACCAAGCTGCCGTATGTGCACTACAATGAAGACTATAGTATGTTAGTTTTTGTACTTTAGCCTTGGGATGAGGTGGGCCTTATTAGTTCTGCACATCCTTTCTATGATATGGCCCTATCCCTCACTTTGTTGTTTCTTATCTTACATTTCATTTATAAAGTGTCTGCATTACTACATTTTTCTGGTCTTTAATGCTGCTTTTGAAATTCACTGTCTATGAGCCCTGACCTGACACAAAAGTCCCATCTCTCTTCAATGGCCCAATACAGAAAGATTTTTTAACTAATACTTCCCTTTTTCCAATTATACATTATTGCAACATCATAATGCAGAGGGATACCATTTACTACAATACACTTTAGCACTTGATCATACTCAAATCCACATACTTGTTGAATAGTTCTTTTAAGATGGCTAATATGTAATTTACCTCACACATAAAACAAAACAGAAAAATGTTTAGATTAATGTATGAATATAAATCTTGAGACACACATATAGATTTTTTTTCCATATCTGACTGCTTAACCCCAAGCTGCCGGGCATGACATGTACATACATGCCATTACCCATTGTGTGTGTTGAATTTTGTAATTGTTTTTACATAGAGATGGCTCCACAAGTACCAAGTCACCAATGAGCCAATTATGCAAACTACCTGTCCCACCTGTTTACCCTTTTCCTTGATTTTCGATATTTTCTAATATCATTGCTGCTGTTTGTAATGTCAGTAACAATATAGTGACTATAATGTTTATAACATAAATAACAGTGTCAATATTGATAGCATTAGTAAAAAAAAAAAAAAAACTTTTTCCACTTTTTCAAGGAAAAGTGAAGTTGCAAGATCTACTAACTGACTGCTTTGTGGATAAGCATTGGCAGAGCCATCTATGTGCAGAAATCTTTAACCAAGCCTTGCCAAAGGGAACGTACCATTTTCCTGTCAACACTGGGTTAATGAAGATATTCCTACTGTAAAAAAAACCTAGTTGGTTATCTTGGATCAATATAAGAAATCCATTTTAAGTAAAATGTTTTATTCCATGCATTTCAGTGTACAACATAGATATCCATATTGTGACATGACAAATCAGATTTGAAAAAAAAAAAAAACATCAAAAGTGGTCTCCTGCCTGCCTCTCTCTCTCTCTCTCTCTCTCTCTCTCTCTCTCTCTCTCTCTCTCTCACACTCACACACACACACACACACACACACACACACACACACACACACACACACACACACACACACTCACTCACTCACTCACTCACTCACTCACTCACTCACTCACTCACTCACTCACTCACTCACTCACTCACTCACTCACTCACTCACTCACTCACGCACTCACTCACTCACTCACTCACGCACTCACTCACGCACTCACACGCACCACCACGCACTCACTCACGCACAATACATACACACGCACACGCACACACACGCACGCACATCCACACGCACATTTACACACGCACATACACACGCACATTTACACACACACACACACACACACACACACACACACACACACACACACACAATTACACGCACACTCACACAATTACACGCACACTCACACAATTACACGCACACTCACACAATTACACGCACACTCACACAATTACACGCACACTCACACAATTACACGCACTACACGCACACTCACACAATTACACGCACACTCACACAATTACACGCACACACGCACACTCACACACATTACACGCACACTCACACAATTACACGCACACTCACAGCACACTCACACACACTTACACGCACACTCACACACACTTACACGCACACTCACACACACTTACATGCACTTACACTCACACACACTTACATGCACTTACACTCACACACACTTACATGCACTTACACTCACACACACTTACACTCACACACACTTACACATTCATTCTTTGAATTCACTCCTCTCACACACTCACTCATTAACACTCCGTACTGAACGCATGAAAGCTCAGCAAAGGTTGCTGAAGAACCAAAGAAAACCGGATACAAAAAAAAAAAAATCTTATAAATGAAAAATACAAATATAATTTTTCTTTTCTTTGATACCTTTTTTTTTTAATTACAGCTAATGTAACTAGTTAATGCAAGAGTCAGAAATATCGCTTGACACCTAAGACATGTCCATAACCCGTACACAATCTACATATTCCTGGGTTAGTGCCACCTGACCTTCATGTTTCCTACCATAACAGACCACAATCAAGCACTTCCCTCTCTCCTCATGCTACTAAAACTTTTATTTCTGTAAATCCCAATTCCAGAATCAAGCCAAGCTGTTGGAATATATAAGGGTATAGGGAGCCTAGTGCCAATCAGGGTAAGTTAGGCTAAGTTATAATGCTCAAGGAGTTAAGTAACTAAATACAGTTCCCTTTCATTTCAATTTCCACATTGTTGTACTTGACCCAACTACTGTAAATAGTCGCATGCACTCAGATTCAAACATATAAATGTCATTGTTCCTTTCTCTCCCTTCACTTGTTATCTTTAATCAATCTTCTTTTCATTGCCTTTGGAACAACATATCTTTAGTTACATCTAACTCAAATCAACACCATACAATATAAAACATAATTACCAATAAGGTCCACAAAAGCAGAATTAGCCTTAAGCAGATCTTGCACATTCAATAATATTCATAGGATGATGCCCTCTCACTCTTATCATCATTCTGGATCTGACAAGAACATCCCCAGAAGAAAAGAAATTGTAACAGCAATGTCAGAATTATTTCCTGAGTTGACGAATTTGCAGACAGCAAGCAACTAATGTAAATGTAATGAGCATGGAACTAATGCAATACTATGAGAAGCAAACAGACAAGCATAAGAGAATTCAAAAATCAAAATGGATATACTGCTGTAAACAACTATCATACAAGTATCAGGTTAACATATTAATAAAGAAATGCAAGAGTATCAACTCCCAAGATAATGTATGAGAGAATAAAGTTGGCTCAACAATAAGAATGAGCAAGCTCGGTATTTATTTACAAGAGGAGGTTTTTCAAATAAAAATTATTCATGTCAATATACACAACAGGATACAAAACTAAATGCAAAGCAGGAGTAATTAGAATTACTGTTTGGTTTCACAATCTTTTTAAATCTCAGAAGAAATTTGCTTTATCATTTCTGCAAGTGCCTTCTGAAAGCCTGAACATATTAGCCATGCTTGATCTAAATATAAATAAAAAATAAAAATCAAGTTTCCATGATATAGCTTTACAACCAACCCAAGCACATTAGTAAGAAATCTACTGGAAAACAAATGCAATACTACAGTAATATCCTACTTATTGCATGCTGCTAATGAATATATCACTAACTACATTACCCACAAAGTGCAATGTGAAAACTGACCTTGGAGGAATATCTCATATCCAAGAGCTGATGTGCTGGACGGATTCTCAACTTTGGCATTTTCTTTGTCTCCTCCTGTTCTGAGGTACTGGTGGGAACTGATTCTGCAATTGCTGGTGTTTTAGATTCAGCATTCTCTTCTTGACTTGACTTTTTCTCTGGCTGGCTGTGTTGCTCTGAATTTGGTGTTTCCTCTCGACCATCAGCATCCTCATCTTCACAAATCACTAAAACATCAGAGTCACTATCATGGGTATCTCCTGAGCCCCTACGTTCAATTTTTTGCACTGACTCTTTTCCCTCTGGCTCTTTTGTGTCTAGGTCTTTTGTGTCTAGGTCTTTTGTGTCTAGGTCTTTTGTGTCTAGGTCTTTTGTGTCTGGCTCTTTCACATCTGGCTCTTTTGCACCTGGCTCTTTCGCACCTGGCTCATTCACGCCTGGCTCATTCACGCCTGGCTCTTTCACTATCTGCTCTGCTGGTTTTTGCTTTCCTTTGGCAATCTCCCCTAAAGTTGCTGAGAGCTTCCTAATTGTTTCCTGCAATGATCCTGTTTTCCCTGATGACAAATCTTCATCAAAGATTTCTGGGTCTAAAGCACTCACAGTTGATTCACTGTCACTTTCTGAATTATCTCCAAGGTTTCCATCACCCTCCATCACTGCATCTTCCTCATCCTTTTCAACTGTACTATCTGTAAATGAACTCTTTTCCAATGACTGTTGATTTTCTGAAATGTTCACTTTGTCTTTGGATTCTGAAGCATCTTGGAGGCCTCTGTCCTTTAATTCACCCTCTGTTGCTGATCCTGCTCCTGCTATTCCTGCTGCTGCCATTCCTGCTTCTGCTGCCACTGATGTTATTTCTTGTGATGTGGAAGATGGTGAAGGTGCTGTAACACTAGATGTCACCTGGACTGATGTCCCTATATTTGCTGAAACCTCCTGTTCCTCTTCCTCCTCTTCATCTAATTTCTTGCTTATTGAGTTTAGTAAAGACATTCTCTTTATAGCTTCTTCTGTTGATGTAGTTGTGTGGATATTAGATGCAATTCTATCAACCAGTTGCTTTGCCTTTACTTCTATTTCTTCCTCCATTTCCTCTTCACCTCCCTCCCCTACAAACACTTCTAGGTCTGGACCTCGTTTGCCTTTCTTTCTCTTCCTCCCCTTTGGTTTTCCATGTAGACCAATGTTTTCCATCTCTCCCTTTGACTTCCACTGTTCTGAATATAAAATAACAGGTCTAGTCATGTTTGCTTTGTGAATGTCTGCTTTTCCATTATGGCGATGTTGTACATGCTCTTCTGCTGCCTTCTGAGCTATTCTGACAAACATACATGTTTTACATACATGAATATATGGCCAACCATCTTCTAGAATCATTTCTGATACGGAAAACTTCTCAATCTGATTATGATGGCATTCTTTATGATGTGCTATTAATAGTGATTTTTTGTATGTTCTCTCACCACAAAGATCACATCTGTATCTGTACTCTCCAGTATGACTACTTACATGGTTGTAAAAATGTTCCAAGTGTTCTGACATATAATTACATAGACGGCAGTGGTATACACAATGTGCTGCCATAGGTTTGTGTTCCAGCACATGGTAAACCAAGTCAAACCGACTATTTGATATATAATCACACTCATTACAGGTCACACTTTTCTCAAATGTCATACTTGTTGGTATCCATGACAAATCTAGTGACACATCTTTCTTGTCTTCTGGAACCTTTGGTGGACCTACATGGTCCTTAATCACTGGGGGAAAATCTTCCTTCTTGAATTTACATGGCATTTCCCTTTCAATGTGGAAATTGACTAAATGATATGCCATATGCCTGCCCACATAATCACAAAGATCACACTGGAACAAATCAACTACACCTCCATCATCCCACTCAATCACTTCTACGATTAGAGGTTCCACTATGGATCCCCTGGTTACCCTCCTTAACTCTGGAGGTATATGCACAGTTTTTGATCTCTTGGTCTTTCTTGATGCCCCTGAGTCTGGAGTTTTTAACTCTCGACCTTCACTGGAGATAATAGATGCATCATCAACTAAGCTGCTGGTGCTAACCATGCCAACACTTGCAGTATCATCACCTTCATCAATTTCTTCATTATGTCCTAAAGTCTCATCACTCCTTCCCTCTGGCAAGCATAGATGTAAACTCTCTTTTTCTTCCTCACCATCTACATTTCTAATCAAACTTGTATTGCTTGAAGAACTATCTTGTCTTTTATGGCTACCATCAACAACATCAGAACTATTTTGGACTTGATCAAATATATCTTTAACTTTTTCTTGCTCACTGCTACTTACACTATCTTCTTTAGATTCACTACTTACATTGTGTGCATCATCCTGATTTGGTTTTGCATCAACTTTTCTCTTTTCTGCATTTTGATCAGTCATTTCTTCTAATGAGTCTTTTCCTTTATCTTTACTGTCATTTCTGATTATCTCATCCAAAAGCTGGTAATCCTTACTTATTTGATCACTTTCAACAATCTGTAGTTTCCCAGGTGAACTATCACCATCAGAGTCAACTCCACTCAGAAAACTACCTTCAGACGTCTGGCTCGTAACATGTGGGGGACTGAGAACACTAGCCAGGACGGTTGCATCTGGCAGGAAACTGGTGATTGTTGGATCAACATCTAACAGACTTGGTGTTATTTGAGTCAAATCAGGTAAATCATCCGAGGATGTGTTACTGTCAAACAAATCTGTAGTTGTGAGTACTTTGTTCCAGTTTCCTGCAGCTTCGGGTGTGGATTGTTTTTCTGCACTGGAATCCAATTTCGACTTCTTTGTTGGCTGACCTTTTGATGGTGTAGTTCTATGCCTCTTTCCAGTTTCTTTGCTGATATTACTATCAACTTTTGGTTGTGCTTTACTAAAACCATCAGACACAAACTTCTGTCTTTTGTTATCTCCACTATTTCCAGCATGTGAAAGAGTTCTTTTCTTTCCTTTTCTAGCTGTTGGTATTGCAAGAACATGCAATGGTTTTTGGAAAATCTTTGCTTTGATCTGTCGGTAATTCAAGATATCTGGTTGCTCAACACTCGATTTCTCAACCACAACAGATACATCTAATGGAACCTTTTCAATAGTTTTTGGTTTCTTTTCTAACAATGCAGGCACTTCTGGCTCTTTGGCTGGTACAGCAACACTAGACTGAACTTCTGCAGTCTGTCTTCTGCCACCCCGCTTTTTCAACTTATCATCATCAAAGAGATTAACAACATATCTATGTGGTACTGGGATGACTACCTTCAGCTTTGTCTTTTCTTTGATTAGTTCTTCTAGTTCACCCTGAGTTTGACGGGTTAGTTTCATTCCAACAGTAGAATGCAAATCAAGTTCTGATTTAAATGTATTGTCTTGTAGAAGTTTGTCAACAGCTTTTTTGCCCCTTCCTTTCCTAGGAACTGTATCCTTCTTTACCTGTCCTTTCTTCTTGCCTTTCTTCGTTTCAGCTATCTTTTTCTTTGGCTTTGCTTTTGTAGCACGAACTCTAGTCTTCTTTACTTTTGTTTGTTTCTGCTCCTTTGTTTTGGTACTTCTTGACTGACTACTAGAATCATCTGTTGTCAAAGAATTTACTTCCGAGTCTTCAGTCTCTTCTGTGTCCGAAACAACAGTCTCATCAATAACCATGAAACATTCATCATCATCATCTTCATCCAGGGAATGATTTTTCAAACTAGAACCTGACTTTGTAGTCTCCTTCTGAGGGACTTTCTTTGTGTCTTCTATATCAGAATCTGTATCTGACTCAATTATTATCTTCTTGAATTTTCTGTTCTTTTTTGTTAGCGTCTTACGATTAATTAATTCATCCGAGTCTGACGAGTCATCAGCTGCTGATTTAGAAGAAGCTTTACCTCGACCAGGAGATTTCTTTTCATGTTCTTTGTTTTTCTTCTCGGTGCCTTCCTTGCTTGAGTCGGTCTCACTCTTTGATGATTTTGCTTCTGGTACAGCTTTCTTTATCTTTGGAATCTTGAAGCTTGACTTTCCGCCTGATGCTTTAGGAGGAACTTTAACCCCACACAATTCTGAATACTGTGCAGAGGGCGCAACACTCTCAGAATTAACAGGTTCAGAGACTTGTTTATCAACTACAGTGTGCTTTTCAGTAGCAGCTGGAGCTGGTACAGTAGAGGTGGGTGTTACTGGTTTGACTGCAGGTTCTTTTGGTTCTTTCGGTTTTGGCTTAAAGAATGGGTTTCCATTTCCTCTTGGTCTTTCAGGAATACCAAGCTGGGCTTCTCTATCCCTATTAAGCTGTTCATACATATTCTTAGCTTGTCGCAAGATTCCAACGGTACATATCCTGAGAGATATAGGATAGCCATTTAAAAGCTGCCCATTCATTTGTTCTAGAGCTTCTCGAGCACTAGCATGACTAGGAAAATGAATATAGGCTGTTCCTTTACAATTATAATGGTTATCTAGCTCTAGTGACATATCTCTCAATATATAATCAGAAAAGAAACGATATATGTGATTGGAATGGACAAAAGGGGGCAACCCACGCATCATTAGGCAAGTAAAAGTCTGGCCAATCAAAGACCCACTTGCAGACTGGGTAGGACTAGGATCTATGAGGTCATTACTAACAACTGGTCCACTTGAGCTTGGGACTGGAGTAAAGTTCATGGGAGCTGGTGGTGGCGGAGTTGGTTGTTGATTCCACATAGCACCTGGAGGTCTTTCAACTCTGGATGCCATTCGTGGATCTCTATACTGTGGTAAGGGTACATTAGGGAAAGTTCTGGTCTCCTGCCGTGGATCTCTGGGCCCTGCATTAGGAACTCCAGGCAAAGAGCCAGGCTCAAGTCTGTTTGCAGCTCCTGGTGGATTAGGGAAACCAGAATGCCCTCTTATTCCTGATACTGGGACTGGATATTGATTAGACTCATGTCTGGAATCCCAACCTCCAGGTGGCACTCCTGGTGTAAATCTACTTGCCTCCTGCCTTGGATCTCGAGGCAGCTGAGGACCTACAGGAGCATATTTGGCTGAATCTTGTCGAGGATCTCTTACTATATTTGAAGAAAATCTATTAATATCACCCCTGTTTTCTCTTCCTGGGAAGACTCCAGTATCCTGCCTTGGATCCCTATTCATCTGCTGCCTTGGATCTCTCGTAACTGATGACGAGGAAGTTGTTGATAACCTTGGATCTCGAGCATGCGATAAGCTTGTGATTTTGTCCTTTGCAGGTTGTGGTTCCTGCTGAGGTTTAAAGCGTGGGTCTCTTGCTGAGGATTCTTGAGTTGGCTGTGAATCTTTTGCAACATCTTCTGTTGATTCAGTACTTATTGAATTTTCTGGTAAAAGTATATCAAGAACTGAAACAGGCTCTTTTCCTTTTGCTTGTAAATCAGTTTTCCCTGAATACTCTTTAGTCAAAGAAGGTGAGGTGTGTGATGGTTTTGTATCTCTTGGACCACTTAACTGTCTCTTCAATTTGTATTTTTCCATTTGAGAAGCAGCCACTCCTCTTTGTCCTGGCTTAATGAATTCTCCAGCACCATGTGCAATTCGTGCACGGATACTATCTAATCTTTTCTGTCCTTCACTTTCATCTTTAGCTGATGCAAAGGGACTTTGTGATTGTGGTGGAGGTGACTTTGGCAATGGAGGCTGAGTTTTTGGTAAAGGTGGTTGGATAGGTTTAGCTGGTAAGGGTGGTGAACTTGGTAATGGTGGCTGACTGGATTTGAGCAAATTGATATCACCCTCAGATACTGGTGGATCCAATGCTTTGGGCAAAGGTGGGGGTGGCAGGTGAGATACAGGCAATGGTGGCTGAGTTCTTGGAAGTGCAGGTTGCGTTTTTGGCAAGGGTGGCTGTGGAACTCGCATGTCAATATCCCCGCTGCTTGTTCTGTTTCTGGGGTCTAATGGCCTAAGATTGCTAGTATCTTTATAGAAACCAACACCAGAGGTTGCTACTAGATTGGTCCCTAAAGACTGGTTTCCTTGGCTCACCATGGGCTGACTACTGTTAGCCTGTCTGTGTGGTAAAGGTATTGAACCAATGGTGTTTGTTGCCATCTTTCCTGCTTCTGCTGTTTTCTGGATAAATGGTGCTTGTGGCCCAACTCTTCCCCCACTTTTCAAACTTTCATTTCCATGTGGTCTGGCCTGATAGGTATGAGGTAGTGGTAGCAAACTGCGATGAATCTGCCGCAGATCAGTATCAGAGCGACCAGAAATCACAGGCACCTGAGGCGTACTAACAACTGGCCTTTGCTTTTTTGTTGCTTCTGCATCTTGGTTATTCCAAACTTCTTCTGGATCATAAGGCTCATCCTCTGAATTTGACTTTCCTGCAGGACCTACAAAGTCCTCATACCGGTAAGATGGGCCAGAACTAGAACTAGAACTGGTCTGTGCACGTATTTGTGCTAGGGCTTTTTTAATATTTTCCAAATCCACACCTGCCTGACTAATACTTTCAAGTGGAATAGTCTTGACAGGGGTGGTTTCCTCTGCTGCAGGAACAGGGCTAAAAGAAGCATCCATATCAGGTGACTGTGGTGTGTCTGTTGAAAAAAAGCCATGGGAAGACGACTCATCTGGTGACATGGGTGTATCTGGCACATCTGGCTGTTTTCCTCTCTGAGGGTAAGTCTGTGGAAACCCAGTACTGTGAGAAGTATTTGACTGAGAACTACTTACTCTCCAATGTACCTGTTCTTGAAAATTACTACCACTACCACTGTGACTATGATCCCTTACCTCATTATGCTGAAAAGAAGTTCTAGCAGTTGCATCTTCTTGACCAAGGCCTGAAAGTCTAGGGAATGGACTATCACTAGAGGTTTTATGTGAGAAGAAAGAATCTCCTCTTGCTCGAACCTCATCCCTCCAATTTCCAGACTGAGTTCTTAACAAACCCCTTTTATCCAACATGGCGCCAGATGAAGTACTTTCATCCTCTGATGGTCCAGAAGGTTCTCCAAAGAGTTTTTGGAACTTTCCTCTTGAACCTTTTAACATTTCAGAAGCCTGAGGTGAAGCATTTCCTGTTCCCCTCGCAGATGGATGTACATCAGTGTTTGAAAGAGATGGAGGCATTGGAAGGTCCAGCAAGCTATTTCTTTTTGATGAATGTTTTCCATCATCCTGATACTCCTGCTCTGTAAGGCTCCTTTGCCGCTGCAGGTGGTGGGAGTCTCGCTCCCTCTCCCTGTCGTATTCTCTTTCGCGGGAACTTAAACTTCTACTTGTTTCACGACTCTTATCACGTTCATGTTCTCTGGAGCTGCCTCGTCTCTCTCTCCCTCTATCATGTTCTTTGTCACCCGAATTTCGACTTCTTCCATCTCTACTTCCACTTCTATCAAGATCTCTGTGTCTATCATATTCTCTTTTTCTATCATAGCTTTTTGTTCTGCTCCTGTCGGAATCTCGATCTCGACTTCTGTCCGACTCTCGGTCTCTACCTCTATCTGAGTGCCGAGACTGACTTCGGTCCCCATCTCTCCCTCGATTTCTATCATAGCTGCTTTCTCTTGACATTTCAACTCCTCTATCTCTTCTATCACTATACTCTGTGTCCCTCCCTCTATCTTTCTCCCTACGCTCACTTCCACTATCTCTAGAACTCTGCCACTCACTTGACCCAGACCTTGTAGGGAAAGACCGCGCTTGCTGACTTGAACCATGTCCATACGCTGGTCTATTTCCACTACTGTGACCCACACTTGGGCTTAGTCCTTGTGGTGCTTTGAGACTTGAACCGGCTGCACGATTGCTGCCACTCTCATACACCCCTCCACCACCCTGGTTATGACTAAAGTTCTGGTTCAGGTTCAGACCCAAGGTTGATCCTAATCCATGGGTCAAACCAAGACCTTGGCTAGACCCACTGCCAGGGTTGGAATGTGAGCCAAGTATAGGTCGGTGGCTTGAACTAATATTGGGGCTTGGAGGTCCTTGGCCTGGACCGGCTCCATGGCTTGGGGGTCTCGGAGGAGCAGATGGTCCTGGTTCAGGTTTCTGAAAGACGATAAAAAATCAATTATTTTTGAATGTCAAGCAATCAATAAAATCAATCAAAATAAGTAAAATAATATTTCGCTATTGAAAATTCTTCTTAAAAAGATTATGCATTCTTGATTACAGATGTGGCACTAAAAGTTATAATGTTTAAAACTTGTTAACTGTTAAAACTAATTTTATTTTACTACTAATTATTAACAACCAAATACAGACAGACACATACATACAACACACACACACACACACACACACACACACACACACACACACACACACACACACACACACACACACACACACACACACACACACACACACACTCAAAAAAAAACTTACTCCAGTGGCTTTTTGAACTTTTTCGTGCATGTTGCGGATAACAGCTTCCATTTTCTCTAGCATCTCCATCCTTGGTCTGTAAATATTGTACAATTGGTTAAATAGATTTTCATATCTTTAGATGGATCAAAATAATAACTACAAGTAATAATCAAATGACAATTGAGAAAAATTGGTGGTGACAATGATGATTGATGCTTGATAACGATGATATATACTATATGTATATATAATATATATACACATATATAATATATATATACGCATATATAATATATATATACACATATATATTCATATTCATATATATATATTCATATATATTTATACACATATAAACATTCATTTCACATCAGCTGTTCTATGAAGTGATGTATTATTCATTTCAAAGTTCTAGTTTGTAAACCAGGTAATTATCATAAACACTATCATCATATCAATAAGTATGTATCAGATAACTAAATAAACCCATTAATTCGTAATCAAACCACTGCCTCTGGGATAATTAACTCGAAAAGATACAAGTCACCTTGATGCCGAAGGTTATACCTAATAAACACAAGTGTGAGAAGTAAAGGAGATGAGGTTTAAGTGTGAAAGCGTGAAAATAAAAACAGGAAAAACATATCAATAGCAGCAAATGATTTAATGCTAAATGCAGAAAAGCACAAATTAAGCTATTCTAGCCTACTGGCACCACCTACACTCACTACCTACTGTATTATCTTGCAAATTTCCTTTACATACAGATGGCGTCACAAGTCCATGAAGGAGTCAATTTATACGCCTACTTCAACTCATCTAACTCATCTCATACCTTGAATTTTCACACTTTTTTTTAATCAGGGAAAAGGGTAAATTGGGCTATTAATTGACTCCTTGATGACTAACCTTTCGTGAAGCAATGAAGTGTAAAACAAATAACATCTGTCTGTTCAATCTCAATAATGATTACAAACAAAACAATAACAGTTATTACTACTACAACAATTACAACTATAACAGTAACAACACCGCAACAACTATTCTTCGTGATATTAGCTGCTTCTCCCTACTTACGCTCTTGGGACAGGTGTTGTTAGGAATCTGTGGAGGCCCTGAAGGCGTTCTAACTGGTTGTTTCTTGAACCAACTTGTTGTGAGCGAGCCTCGAGCTTTGTGATCATACGTTCAACAAAGGGAACATATGACCTTAAGTGCACCAGTTTCTCGTCAATTTCTGAAAGAAAAACAAAATTTAAATCCTCTTTTACAGTACCTTAGGGGATATTGGTATTTACTAGAATAAGCTACACCCATTCTAGACAAAACACAAATGAAAACTGAGAATAACATTTTCCTATATTGTCAACTATTCACAAATCATCATATGAATCAGTAATTCCCAAACTGTTGACTGTGGATGCCCCTAGTCTTCGTCAGTAATATTTTCCTTGGCCAAGTAAAGACAATTCAGTAATTTTAATGCAGAGTTAATATGGGACGATACCAGATGCATTAATACCTCAAAAGCAAAGAAAACATGGCCGACCGACAGCAGAATTGAACAGAGGGTCATCAGCTTCACTTCTGCCACGACACTATCAACTAAGCCACCAGTTCTTTCACTCTGTTAGTCATATCTTGCTGGAGTCACTTTAGTGTCAACTTGTACATTCCATTTGTTGTGTGTGATCCAGCTTTTAGTGAAGTTACTGCTACTTCATAAGTGGTGGCATCTTTAATAAGCCATGAAAAAGCTTAGGCGTTTTTATAAGTGAGCTGCACTCTGAAAAAGGTTGGGAACCACTGAGATAAAGAAATCTCTAAACTAAACCTATCTTCACATTATCATGTCCTCAAACTTGTGTTAAACAAAGATCCATCTGTACATATCCCTGAACTCTGACCACTAATCTACAAGTATAATTGAATAATATAAATATATCCCCTTTGATTAACAACAGAAACTAGCTCTTGTTTTAATGGTAAACCAAATTAATCAGCCAGCCTATTAAATAAAGAAGAGGAAAAAATTGAAGAGACTCAAGATATTCTTTTATACTTACTTCAAAAACATAAAAAATAATAATACATAAATGAAAATATAAAAAAACAAGAAGAACTAAAGCAAAGCATCTTCATTCTACTATCAAAAAAAAAAAAAAAAAAAAAAAAAAAAATCTTTAGGAAGAGTAAAAAAAAAAAAAAAAAAGTAACAACAGAACGCGCATCTTGAAGTAACTTAACGCATGACTAAATGTATCTCATAAAACATCAATATTCAGCATTCAATATCCTTCACCTCTACAGTAATTTCCATTCTACTGAATTTTCAAAAGAAAGAAAAAATGGAAAAGAATACCCATACACCCATTAACTAGATCTTTTTTTTTATAGATAACAAAAGAATACCCATAAACCCAGTAAATGGCAAAATTAATTTCAAATTAAAACAATCTTTCACCCATTAACTGTCAAAAACACTTAGAAATAAAAGAAACCCACAAATCCATTAACTGGCAAGTCATTTCTTCCTAAACATGCAGTGAAGAAAATCATCAAGATCACAATTTAAACAATTTTAAGAATATCACAATCTTGCCTTGCTGCAAATCTTAAAAATACAGTTTTATAAAAGTAAAAAATTCACTTTGGCAGTTTGTGCAAGATGGGCATGTTCAATTTCAGCAAAAGCAACTTCTGGCAGAAAAGAGAAGACAGCAGTAACAGGAACATTCTGCAATGTTTTGCAACAAACTGCTGAAGGCAAAATGACAGCAAAATTTAATTTAATGCAGCTATGCTTAAAAAAATTGTTTAAAATGACACTGGATTTTGTGTTTATTGTTTTCAGTGCAAGGTAAAAATCATTACAAGTGCAAAATTTGTGAAAGCAGTACAGCATAAGCATATTCAAAATTTTGATGTAATACCTTGCCATGCAAGTGTTCATTAGTCACTCTGTATTCCATTGCAATTACCTTGCTGTAAAGCAAAATTTAAAAGGCATTATGAAACATATATACATATAACAGCTTTCAGTAAAAAAATAAATCAATAAATATTCAATAATACAATAATACAGAATGTATCAAAAGACCTTTTTATTCCTAACTGCATACCAAGAACTACAAAGAATAAGGAACACTCTTCATACCCAATTATGAAGATAGTTCCTGACAAACAAATTTACTCAATCAAAGCTTACTGAATTAATTCAACTTTACAAAAACTTTTTAGTTCAATTCCAAATTAGATTTCCTAATTCTCATTATTTATGAATCAACTTCAGTTGCACAAAAAAAACATAACTGAACCTTTTATAGTTATTTCCTTCATCACTTCTACTCTAGCCATAAAGAAATCTTTTCATTTTGCATACTACAAAAACTGAAGGAATAATAATAAAATGATAAAAACAAACAAAATAGATGCTCTTTCAAAACTAAATGCTATATCTTGAACTTCTATATCTAACCAGATACCCTGTGTGAATAATAAAAATGACAATGATTTTGTTTACATACAAGTGTTAAACATTTTGCTCAAATTCTCTCTCTCACAGCATATACGCAAATGATATTGCGTTGCAACAAAGAACATTCAGACTAAACATCTAATTAACAACATAACCAGCCAAAGATACGTCACTTTGCTTTTATTCAAATTATAGTGAAGTTCAGTTATCTACAAGCAGGAAGGGAAGTGAACTCTGCAACCAAATTATAGGCAAAGTGTAGTACTGTCTGTATATCATGCAAATACAGAACAGTAGTTGCAACTAGCATCAGTCCTTAAAATAGTTTCATTTTCTAATTGTACAACTGATTTTGTGAATCAAGACAGCAGATCTTACAGAACATTTTATCTTTATTTCAGTTGCTGCCTAGTCCCCTGGTTAATACAAACATTTAATCCTGGATTGTAGGTAACATAACTTAATCTTGAGAAAACACTAAATTATGGCATCATTTCAGTCATCATATTGCTTAAATATGTGGGGAAAATCCATGTTAAGAAACTTATGTTAATGATATATAGCAGGAGGAGAATGCAGGTACCACTTTATAACCCACAATAAAATTCTTTATTATTCTACAGTCTGTAAAAAAAAAAAATCAGCATTCTTTCCATATTAGTCAAGCAAGCATTAAAAACTTTAATTATTGTGAAATTCACACATTACCACAAACATACATTTCAAAAATCATAAATCTTAAATTTACCTTTTCTTCTCAAACACTCATATACATGTCCTTTAACAAAAAGAGCTTTGGATTTTTTTTATCTTCATTTTTATGGCATAAATTTTCCAGGCATTGTCAATTTAATGTTTCCTCAATCCCCATAAATGAAATTCTAGTGACAACATGAACAACCAACACATAAGTGGTACAAACACAGTCATAAGTGAGTAAATATAATGTGAATGCCATCTTCCAAGGCGGGTGAGGATGTGAGGGAGAAGAACATCTTACCCAACTCCTTACCAAGGATGGCGGATGTTAAAGTGCAACTTCACATGTCTTATACTGTCTTAGCTCTCTGAAATGTCTGAGATGGTAAAGAAAGAGAACATTTGTTTGTTACTTGCCAAAATTCCATCAATTCAGAAAGTAAATACTGGCTCTCACTCGCTCTCACTCCCTCTCCTTCTCTCCCTTTTCCTCCCTTTTCACTGTCTCCCTCTTCCTCTCCTTCATCCCAATTTCTTTTCTTTCTTTCTTCATACTTCTCCTCCTCTCCTTGACTCAAATAGGTCTGAAATAATTCTGAAGGCTTAGCATGTTTTCTTCATATTTCTTCATTACATCTTCCAGAGTACTTCATCTCTGTTCTCTCTCTTTTTCCTCACATGCCTCTCCTCTCTTCTATTTTCCATGTTTCTGCTCCTTTCCATTCCTTTTTGTTTCTCAATATCTTATATCTTGTATATTTTTTGGGGGGAAAAGTAGGAAATACAGGCTTACTAGCTAAAAAATAAGTCTATTCTGATTAGTGTGAGGATTTTTACAAAGGTCATCCATGAAGTTAATTTTTGTTTAAGAAAATATTAACTTTCCAATTTCATCCTCTCTTATCCAGGCCCACTTGAATAATCTCAGATATCTCAAAAGTAAGGATATTCAATATTTCTAGACCATAATAGAACAATATCAGATAAAAACATTCTTAAATTCACTATCTCAGGCAGTCATGAACCTCATTCTACAACTTTGCAGACATTTTTATTGGCAGAGTTCAGTGACAAAGACAAACATTTTTTCAATAACTGTATATCTGTGCATGTGTGCATATGTGTGCATGTGTGTATGTGTGTGTATGTGTGTGTGTGTGTGTGTGTGTGTGTGTGTGTGTGTGTGTGTGTGTGTGTGTGTGTGTGTGTGTGTGTGTGTGTGTGTGTGTGTGTGTGTGTGGATGTAGATGTGGATGTGGATGGGTATGTGTGTGTGTGTGTGTGTGTGTGTGTGTGTGTGTGTGTGTGTGTGTGTGTGTGTGTGTGTGTGTGTGTGTGTGTGTGTATGTGTGTGTGTGTGTGTGTGTGTGTGTATGTGTGTGTGTGTGTGGATGTAGATGTGGATGTGGATGTGGATGGGTATGTGTGTGTGTGTGTGTGTGTGTGTGTGTGTGTGTGTGTGTTGTGTGTGTGTGTGTGTGTGTGTGTGTGTGTGTGTGTGTGTGTGTGTGTTGTGTGTGTATGTGTGTGTGTGTGTGTGTGTGTGTGTGTGTGTGTGTGTGTGTGTGTGTGTGTGTGTGTGTGTGTGTGTGTGTGTGTGTGTGTGTGTGTGTGTGTGTGTGTGTGTGTGTGTGTGTGTGTGTGTGTGTGTGTTTATGGATATATATATGGGTGTGTGTATGTGTATGTGCATGTGTGTGTCCATGTGCATGTGCATGGGTATGGGTATGTGTGTCTGTGTGTGTGTGAATGTGTGTATATGAGTGTGTATGTGTATGTGTGTATCTGTGTGTGTGAATCTGTGTGTGTATCTGTGTGTGCATCTGTGTGTGTATCTATGTGTGTATCTGTGTGTGTATCTGTGTTAGCGTGCTGTGTGTGTGTGTGTGTGTGTGTGTGTGTGTGTGTGTGTGTGTGTGTGTGTGTGTGTGTGTGTGTGTGTGTGTGTGTGTGTGTGTGTGTGTGTGTGTGTGTGTGTGTGTGTGTGTGTGTGTCTGTGTGTTTGTGTTTGTGTGTGTGTGTGTGTGTGTGTGTGTGTGTTTGTGTGTGTGTGTGTTTGT